GCAACGAGGAAGCTGATGGTCATCGGAAGGCTCATCACGCCCGAGGAGGCGGCAGAAGCACCTTTGACAGCTTGGAACCAGATGGGGAGCTAGAGAGAATGGTCAGGTCGGGTCAGCCAAGTAGTCCTCAGTAGTCCAGAGCACTTTCCCTTACATTGTACAGCATGACGAAAAATGAGGCCGTAGCGGCAGCTCCCAGGATGACGGCGGACCAGATCCGAGGATCCTTGAACAGCCGCGGCGAGATCATGATCCGGCTCTCATCCTTGCGGCAGATCTGACTGAGGACGAAGCCAGTCTCCAGAACGCCCGCGACGACCAGCGTGGCGACGACCCGGCCGTCACTCCAGGGGTACTTGGAACCCCCCCACTGCAGCGCAAGCAGGAGCGAGATCATCCCGGGCACCAGCAGCACGGCGCCCAGCAGATCCATCTGCAGCAAGCGCTCGCGGAAAGCAGTGTTCCGCCCCGGCGGCTTGTTGCTGGGGATGCAGAAGACGACGATCGTGGCGGCCAGGGCGCCCAGCGGGAGATTGATGTAGAAGCACCATCGCCAGGTGAGCGTGGCGTTGTCGGTGAAAGCGCCCCCAAGCAACGGGCCAACGGCCGCACCGAAGCCAAAGATCGCGGTCAGGATCCCAATGAGAGCTGGCCGCCGCGGTGGAGGGAGCAGATAGGTGACGAGCAGCAGCGACCCCGCGCCGGTGCCTCCGCCACCAAGTCCGGCAATCGCACGGCCGACGATGAAGCTCGTGGACGAAGGCGCGATCCCGCAGATGAAGGAGCCAAGCTCAAAAAGGAAGAGGCCGACCAGGTATGTCCATTTCACTGTGTAGAAGGTGTACAGCTTGCCCCAAATCAGCTGGAAGGAGCAAAAGGTCAGCATGAACGAACTGGCGTACCAGCCGACATCGCCCAGGGCATGGAAGCGGTTCGTGATCTTGGGGATCGCGGTCGTGACAATCGTGCCGTCGAGGCCTTGAAGGAACTGGATGACCACCAGTGCCGAGATGTCGAGGAGCAGTGTGGACAGCCGATTCGGGTATTGAGGGTGGTCTTCTTGGAGGGAATCGGTCTCATGCTTGGGGTCCTCGTCTTCGTGGATGCGGACACTGGGCGCTGCTGGCTCACTCTCACTCTCAGTCATCAGGAGCGCCATGATGACCGCGCAGCAAAACAAACTGAGTGATTCGGATACGAAAGCAAGAAGTTGCCTTTGGTCTTGGAAAAGAAAGCAATTAACTGGGGCTTCCAAGGCACAGACAGGGTGGTCGACGGGCGAGCAAGGGGTAGCCCTAGGCAAGGGACAAACAAGACCCGTCATGGAGAATTTTCAAGGGATGAATGGATGGGTAATGAGTATCTCACACCGCATTTCCAGACAGCCTCTGTGACTGTATGTGCCCCCAACCGATGATCGTCGAAACAATGTTCGTAGGGTGCGACTCGAGCAGCATTGCCAGTCCCTCACTTGAAAACGTGCCCTAGTACGGCATCATCTCAACCAGCGATCTTAGGGCTCTGAATTCATTGCGCCTCATTATCATCTGCGATCCTATTGAGTCAAACCATACACTGACCATGTTAATGCCCGTCCGTCGTATGCCATGCCATGTGCCAACACGTGGATGATGAATGAATTCTGCCATGTGAGGCTATCTGAGGAACTAACTAAGAATGAGGCCACAGGGCCGCCAACGCCATGCGAGCGAGATGCTTGGTGGGGACCAGAAAAAGACTTTCACCAACCAGATCATCGACTGGATCTTGTACCCTAATAACATGAGAGCTTGGAGGCATAACCTTGACAAACTATACATGGGAGATAACATCTTTCGGTAGCTGGTAGGGAGGCGGTAGCCCTATCTTGGATCATTCACTTCTCGGCTTGGGGTACACTCAACCCTAATAACAGCACCAGCTTTAATTTGAATCAACAAAAATCGAACCCAAACAAGCTATAGCCTCAAATCCTCTCGCAAACAACCGGGTTCTGCGCCATTGAAAACCACGTATCCGGCCTGCGTGTCTTCCAGTCCTCTTTCCCCCCCGCCAACGCCTCCGGGACGGAGATCCTATACTTCTCAATCAAATAGACGGTCAGACACTTCATCATCGTGTCCGCCAGGGCCTGCGCCAGACACTGCCGGGGGCCAAACCCGAACCGCCACAACCGATACCGGTACTCGGTCACCGACGCCTCCATGTAGCGGTGCGGGCGGAACTCGTCGCCGTCCGCGCCCCACGCAGGATCGCGCCGGTTCAGCGCGTTGGTGTCGACGATGAAGTACGTGCCCCGGGGGACGACATAGCCAGCCACCGCGCGGTCCTCCGGCAGGTACTGCGGGTACGTGTAGTTGGCAATGGGGCGCAGGCGCCCGTTCTCCACGACGCATCCGGCGAGGAGCGTCGTGTGGCTCGCGATATACTGCTCCCAGGCCTCGGGGGTTCCCCGCGCCCGGGCTTGGGCAATCTCCTCGCGCAGCTCGGTCTGGATCTCCGGGTGCAAGGCGAGCAGGAGGGCCAGCCAGGCGAAGGTACCCATGGTCACGTCGACATTGGTGAACAGGCCCTCACTGATGGAGTGCAGGACCTCGCTGCGCTTGACGCGGCCCTCGTTGATGGAGCGGTGCAGCGAGACGATGGGGAGGGAGGTTGTGCCCTGCGCGAGGATGTGCGCGTACGCCTCGTCGTTGAAGGCCTCCCAGCGGTGTTCGAACTCGTGCAGCTGCCGGCGCAGCGTCGGGTAGAAGATCCGGTTCAAGGAGAACATCGACCACCCGCCCTTGAAGGTGTGCGACCAGATCTCGTTGCGGAGGTCAATCAGCTCCGTGAGCTCCTGGTTCATCGCCTCCGGGAGCTCGCCGTAGACGATGTCCTTCAGGATCCAGAAGGGGAACGAGCTCAGATCCTCCGTGGCCCGGAGCTGCAGCAGCCTCGTCATGCCCTGTTGCGCACAGCGGTCTTCGAACTCGGCGAAGTGGCGCTCGACGCGCGACGTGACTACGCCCACATACGCCGTGGCTTTCTGGCCAAACGGGGGCGCCACGACCGAGTGCACGCGCTTCCAGTGGCTGCCGTTAAGCAGGCCCACTCCGTCGCCGAGCAGCGCGCCCAGCACCCATCCGGCGTTGGCGCTGTTGACCTTGAAATGCTTGTCGGAGTCCTTGTAGATGGTCTTAACGTCGTCGGGCCGCGTCAGAACGCTGTATCGTTGGTGAGCGAAAAGATAAGTATACCGGGGGGGGGGGGGGGTGGTACATTTCTGGAACGAGTCCAGTCCAGATACGGTAGATTGGCCCGTATTTCTTCTCCCAGTCGCCCGAGACAGTCTCGCCATCGAGGAATTTGGTACTGCCGCCACCATCGGGAAACTTGTAAGGACGCGTGGGGATCTGAGATCTGCCGTTGACGGAGTTGACGGGGTAACGCCACCGCAGGTATTTCTGTATATCATTAGAGTCTCGTGGAGACAACCAGAGACAACCAATCGGTATGCTTCGGACTTACATCGATAATATATGATAGAACTGAATTGCTCCAGCTGTTGGGATCAAAAGCCCACCAGATGAAGACCGCAATGGTCGTGAATATTGCTTGAGCCCAGATTAATTGTTCGCGAGACATCTTGGTGGCTTTGCAGAGTCCGTTAGAGGCAGATTGAATGGTTGAAAATAAGAGATGGAGAGATGGGTCTGTAGAATACAACGGTGAATTATGTGTGACCGGCACTGCTGGCCCTCGTTCTGTTGAGGAAGATCATTCTGCGAGGGGCGGCGGCCATACAGCAGCATAATTGCCTTATAATGCAATGCAATGTTACAAGACCAACAGGATATACTCATTCTACGCATGGGAAAGGCGTGATTCCGATGTTGCACATTCCCGCCGCCCCGACAGTCCACCTGCCCATAGGCCCGGTAGCATTTACATTCCGCAGACCAGGTTTGTATCCTTGCGGAGACAGCGAGCGAGCATTCCATTCGCTTGTGTCGCCCAGCACTACTTAGAGTCAGCCGCGCAAGGGACGTGCCGCACCGCTTGAACGCCCCTGACATGCTGACTTGCCTCTTTCTTGAATGTTATACACCGCGGACTTGGACCGAAAGCCAGCAATGCTGTTCTAAATGGACGGATATTGACTCCTCACAGTCAAGCGTACTGAATGGTTTCTTCCAAGGCACGTTGTACGTAACTAGATGGTGCTGGATCCAATAATACCCTGCACGGGTGGGTTCTAAACCATGTAAGGTGATTAGGAACGTGACCCGTAGCAATGCTAGCTAATGGACCAGTATGGCGTGCGCTCGCTGCTCCTTGCTGTTCCTCAGAATGCCTGGGACCTGATGTCACCATGCCACAAGATGGATGGCTTGCTTATTTCGGCCACTGCCGTGCAATGGCTGAGCATGACATATAATGACTGCTTGTGGCGTTGTACATCGTAAACTCTACCCCCCCTGATAAGATACGAAGGTTTTAGGGTAACGTACCTAGCTCTGATGGCGCTGGCTGAGATGGAGTCACAGCCAACTAATTTTCCGACTTTGAACGGCGGTGATGATGAACATGCTGTCTTTCATGTCATCCGCTCACAGTTAGATTCAAAATTGACCACACAATGGCGACAAGGCGACAGCACCCGATGGACACATTATATCAAGCTCGCATGGGCCGTTCTACTTGCACGCTACGCCGGCAATGAAGCTCCCAGCTTCACTGTCGTTGAGGACGTTCATGCGGCACCAGGCCTGTGTCCGGCCTCGCGTCATTCTCGTACGGAAGCTCATGTCGAGACCTGGGAGATTTCAGAAACCCCGAATGCCGGTGTCGCCGAAACCGCACGCAGACGCAAAGCAGAGCCGTGGCCCGCACAACAACGGGGTCGTGAAGCGCTGCCTGACACTGGGGTTCGAATCCAGAACCACAGCCGCCATCAGCATGGCTCGGGTGACTACGCTCAGATATCTGATGGCTGCAACTTGCTTGTTACTCTGGATATGTGCCGGTCTCCCATCGACATCTCTCTGAGATTCTCGAGTACAACCATAAGCGACAAGTATGCACAGACGATCATCGAGACCTTGACGCATCTCTTCGAATTTTTACTGCAGAACCCTCACGCCAAAATGAGCAGCGTCAGCTTCTTGGGGAAGCATGCTTCACGCTTGCTTGCAGAGTGGAACGATCCAAGGCGACTCACCAGACCGAGGACGTGTATCCATACCTTGATTCTAGCTCAGTGCCAACAGCAACCCGAGGCAGAGGCCCTGTGTGCGTGGGATGGCTCAGTCTCCTACGCCGAGCTCGACCGCCTCTCCAGCGTTTTGGCTGACCGACTTGTCTCGCTAGGCGTGCGATTGGAGACCATCGTGCCTGTCCTTTTCGAGAAGTCAATGTGGACCGTCGTGGCCATGCTGGGCATTTTGAGGGCCGGGGGGGCATTTGTTCTTCTGGACGCCTCTCAGCCTGATGCACGCCTGGTCGAGATCTGCACCACCTGCCAGGCGAAGGTAATACTTGCGTCACAAGCACTGCACGAGACCGCGAGGAAATTGTGCGAGACGGTGATCTGTCTCCCGATTGGATTGTGTACTGAGAAGAATCTTCCACCGCTGAATCGACCCCCCACGCCGCCGGAGAGTGCGGCAGACGCAGCAGCATATATCGCCTTCACCTCAGGCTCCACCGGAAAGCCCAAGGCCATTGTCATCGAGCACCAGTCGTTCTGTGCCAATGCCCTAGCGCAGAACGAAGCCCAGAACCTCAACCGCCAATCGCGTGCCTTTCAATTCGCTTCCTATGGATTTGACAGCAGTATCCTAGAGATGCTAATGACCCTGATCGCCGGCGGCTGCGTCTGTGTGCCATCGGATACCCAGCGGATCAACGAACTCGCTCCCACCATCAACCAGCTCCGCGCCAACTGGGTGGAGCTCACGCCATCGGTGGCCAGAATGCTGACGCCCGAGGCGGTGCCCAACATCCGGTCACTGCTTCTGGTTGGCGAGCCGCTATCGCAGGAAAACATCGCAACCTGGTCCGGGAAGGTGCAACTCATTAATGCCTACGGACCGGCGGAGTGCAGTGTCGTCACCACGATCCAGCCCTACGTGAAGCCGTCCGACCCGTCGAATATTGGCCGGTCACAGTCGGGCCATTGCTGGGTCGTGGATCCCCATGATATCTCCACGCTTCAGCCGATTGGCGCGGCGGGCGAGCTCCTCATCAGTGGACCCCTTGTCGGACGAGGATACCTGAACCACCCAGCCCAACAGGCATATGTGCGCGCCCCGCCCTGGGCGGCGGACTTCGGGTTACCGGTAGGGGAGCGCTTCTATCGCACTGGTGATATGGTGTATTACAATATCGATGACGGGACGTTACGGTATCTAGGCCGCAAAGACCGCCAGGTTAAGCTTCACGGCCAGCGCATCGAGCTGCCGGAGATCGAGCACCACGCGCAGCTGTATCAAAAGGGGCTCGTGGCCGCGACGGATGTTGTGAGCCCGCCCGGCCAGGCCTCCGACGCTATACTGACGTTGTTTGTGGTGGTGCAGGGAGCTGGAGCGGTCTTCCCGAGCCAGGATGGAGCCGCAGACCTACTTGCCCCCGTTGACGAGCGCACCCGGGCCTTCTGGAAAGAGATGCGACGCTGGCTTCTCGAGCGGTTGCCCTCGTACATGGTTCCTACCAAGTTCGTGCCGATGCATCGCTTCCCCTTGACCGCGACTGGGAAGCTCGACCGGAGGACTTTGGTCGCTCTTGCTTCCAAGGCTCTGGTCTCAAACGAGGTTCAGGACCTCCAAGCACCGCCGAGTCAGCAGCCTGCATCGACATGTGACGTAGAGGGTACCCTGCGCTCGCTCTTTTCGAACGTTCTTGGAGTCCCGGAAACCCAGATCGCCGCCGATGACGAATTCTTCGCCCTTGGAGGGACATCATTGAAAGCGATTGAGCTAGTGGCTCGCGCACGCGACAGAGATATCATCATCACTGCTACGGACGTGATCACGCTGCAGACCCCAGCAGCCCTCGTCCAGGCTGCCGCTCGGTGCCACGACCTCCCTGTCATTCCCCCTTACAGTCTCATCAGTGAGGCCAGCCGTCTCCCTACCACCGCCAGGATAACTTCCCAGTTGTTACAAGAGGACAGCATTGAAGATGTGTACCCATGCACCCCTCTGCAGGCTGGGATGATGGCATTATCAGTCAAGATCCCAGATGCTTTGGTGGGCACCTTTGCATTCACTCTGCCGCCGCAAACAGACCTGGCGAAATTCAAGGCCGCCTGGGAACAGGTCATTACAGCCAATCCCATCTTGCGGACCCGGATCGTCCAATGCGAAAGTGAATTCCTGCAAGTCGTCGTTGCGGCCAAGACCGTCCCCTGGGCCGACTCCTACCCCACTGGTGACAGCTGGTCAATGGGCCTAGAAGCCCCTCTCCTGCGCATGGCTATGATTGATCGAGCGCAGCGGAATGAGGAACCTTTGTTTGTCGTGAGAATGCACCATGCAATCTTCGATGCTTGGTCCTACGCGCAGGTCCTGGAGGATGTCGAGCAAGTATATCACGGCGGTGCATCGCCAAAGCGGGAGCCATTCAATCACCTCGTTCAATACATATCCACCCTCGACGCGAAGGCGGCACAAGAGTTCTGGAAGACTGAACTTGCTGGATACAATGCCACCGCGACCTCGTTTCCACCGCTCCCCCAAAACGGAACGACGGCGTTGCGCTCTCCTCATTCTCGAAGTATCCATGTCCATTCCACGACCATCGATCAAGACTGGGCACTGGCAAGCAAGATTCAGCTGGCCTGGGCTATAGTTATATCGGCGCATACGGGCACGAACGATGTTGTTTTTGGTCTGACCGTGTCGGGGAGGACGGCCCCAGTGCTGGATATTGACCGGATTATGGGGCCGACCATTGCGACAGTCCCCTTCCGAGTCCAACTCCGGCCCGACCAAGCCATTCAAGATGCAGTGACTGAGGTCCACGATCATGCCATCTCCCTCGTGCCTTTCGAGCACACCGGGCTGTTGTCGATTTGCGACTCCAGCCCCGAGGCTGCGGCCGCCTGCGCCTTTCAAAATCTGCTAACAGTCCGACTGCGTCCAGCCGAGCGATCGCAATCGATCATGGCGGATACGCCGGAGAACGAGGAGGAGGATCGCAATTTCAACACGTACCCTCTCTCAATGATTGTTCAGGCGCGTAAGGACTCCTTGCAGCTCAAGGCGCTGTTCGATGGCTCCATGGTGCATGACACCCAGGTGCAGATCATCCTGGAGCGGTTCGCCTCAATTCTAGAACGGATCCTACACCAGCCACAATCACGTATCCGTGACTTGTGGTTACCGTGTCCCTCTGATAAGAATCAGTTGACCGCGTGGAATCAGCGGAAGCTCGGAGAACGGCCAGGCTTTTTGCACCAGCTGGTAGAGGGTTATAGCGCTACGCAGCCCCAGTCGGAGGCTGTCTGTGCGTGGGACGGCTCCTTGACGTACGCGGAGCTGATTAGGGCAGCGCGCTCGTTGGCTGCGCATCTCCAGTCTCAGGGGGCCGTGCCGGAGACGGTGGTGGGCATCTGTACCGAGCGCTCGAAATGGCTCCCCGTGGCCATGCTGGGGGTCCTCATGTCCGGCGCAGCAATGGTCTGTTTGGAGCCCAGCTTCCCCATCCCGCGCCTGGAGGGGATCTGCCGAGACGTGGATGCGCAGTTGGTGATCTCGACCGCCATGCTTCGTGACAAGTGCAGCCAAATCGCCAAGGACGTTGTCGTCCTGTCCGAGGATAGCGTTGCAGGATTCGATGCCAATGCGTACCACACACCTTTCTTGAGCCTCCAAAATGCTGCGTATGTTGCGTTCACGTCCGGGTCGACCGGCGCGCCCAAGGGAGCCACCATCGAGCATGGGATGCTTTCTCTAGCGGTGGAGGGCCATGTGCAGCTCTGCGGCCTGTCGCCCGGATCTCGAGGTCTCTCGTTCTCGTCGTTGGCTTTCGACATGTGCATTCTCGAAATCACCTTCACCCTCGGCGCCGGTGGCTGTCTCTGTATACCATCCGAGGCCCAGCGGACGGACAATCTCGCCGGGACGATGGAGGAGATGAAAGTGGACTGGACCATGCTCACGCCCACCGTCGCGCGCACCATCGGCCCATCGACGGTGCCCACGCTGACAACGCTCGTACTGGCCGGCGAGCCCATGTCGGAATCCGACATCACCACATGGAGTCCCCACGTCGACCTCCACAACGGCTATGGTCCCGCCGAGTGCGCCATGCTCACGACCACCGCAGTACATATCAAGCCCGGCGATCAACCCTCCAATGTGGGGCTACCGCCCAATGCCTCCTGCTGGATCGTTGATCCCGACAATCACCACCGCTTGCAACCTGTCGGGTGCGTGGGGGAGTTGGTCATCGGGGGCCCGATCGTCGGACGAGGATACATCAACCGCCCGGCCGAGACCGCGGCGGCCTTCATCCACAGTCCGGCGTGGGCAAGAGACTTCCCTTTCGTCGCGGGCCATCGCTACTACAAGACAGGGGATCTAGCCTACCACAACCCCGACGGCAGTATCTCCATCATGGGCCGCAAGGATTCTCAGGTGAAGCTGCACGGGCAGCGCATCGAGCTCCACGAGATCGAGCATCATGCCGAGGCGTATCAGAGCGGAGCGACCACCTGCATCGCACTGCTGATCCACCTGGAGCATCTCCGTGGATCTCGCATCGTGCTCTTCACCTGTGCAGCGCGGGACGTGGGCTTCGATGGACGCGTGGACGCCGCACATACAACTACGCCTTCGACCTCTCCCCTCGTCCCGGACTTGGACCGGTACCTCGAACCCATCCAGCAGCTGAAGGAACATCTCAGCCAGACGCTGCCGCCCTTCATGGTGCCCTCCATCGTAATCCCGCTGCAATATCTGCCCCTGAGTCCCAGCGGCAAGGCCAATCGGAAGGAATTGCGGGCGTTGATAGAGGCAATGCCCCGAGCTCAACTTGCCAAGTATCTGGGCAGCAGCAGCGAGACCACCCAAATAAAAAGGCCGCCCGCGTCCAGTCAGGAGAAATTCGTCCATCGGGCGTTCGCCAGCGTGCTCGCGGTGGCCGAAGATGCCATTGGCGTCGACGACAGCTTTTTCACCTTGGGTGGAGACTCAATCAGCGCCATGCGGCTGCTGGGCCTGTGTCGAAAGGGGGGAATGCGCATGACGATGTACGATTTCCTGGCGAATAATACTGTTGCTCTGTTCTGCGAGAAAGCTCGCATGGTCACTCCCGCGAACGAAGCCCCAGTCGTCCCTGTTGCAGTGCCAAATGGAAAGGAAGTCGCCCCTGAGCACCCAGCAAGTTCAGCAGTCCTACAACTCAGCCATGCTGAGTGGGAAGCCGTTTACGATCTGGCGGGGCAGCAGTCCGTCGGGTCCCTCCAGGATGTCTACCCCTGTTCCGACGCCCATTGCGGTATGCTGGAGGTTTATACTTCCCAGTATCGGGGAAACCTGATTTTTGCCCTCGAAGGCACCGATGATGCCGTTATTAGCCCAGACCAGGTCGTGGTCGCCTGGAGGGAGGTGGTTCAGCGGCATACCGCGCTGCGCACGGTGATAATTCGCCGTCCCGGCAGCAAGAAGCAGTACCTTCATGTTCTGCTCAAGAGCGCTTCGCCGACGGTGGTGGTCCTGCCTCCTGGCGAGGATACTCTCGAAGTGCTCAAGGCGCTGCCAACGACCGCGTGGGAGAAGGGCTCGCCACCCCACCGGCTGATCGTCGGTCAAGACCGGTCTGGACAGGTCCTCTTCCGGCTGGAGACTGGCAGCGCCCTCATCGACGCCATGTCGGTGCCCATCCTCCTGAGCGATCTCGCTCTGGCCCTGCGCGGCCAGCTCCCGCCGGACTCCGCCACCCCATATAGCGAGTACTTGGCGTACCTGCAGACGCGGTCCAAGGAGGAGACGCTTGAGTACTGGAAGGGAGCCCTGGCAGATGCTCGCCCATGCAGGCTGCCACGACGACCCAGTGCGGACAAGTGCCTATACTCGGACCGCACACCCGATCACCGCTCCCTACCCCGACTGATGAAGCCGGAGGATTTCGCTCGTCTCGACACCTTCTGGCGCTCGAACGGCCTGACGATCGCCAACATCTTCCAGCTCGCGTGGGCACTGCTCCTGCAGCATTACATGCACGCCGCAGACGTCTGCTTTGGCAGCATTGTGTCGGGCCGCGACATCCTCCTGCCGCACATTTGGCAGATGGTGGGCCCATTTTTCAACATCCTTCCCTGCCGGATGGTTCTGGATGGCGATGGTGACGAGAATGCCCCACGCACGGTCCTGGATGTACTGCGCGCGAACCAAATGAGTATCCAGCAGCGCAACGACCACCACCACTGCTCGGTCCCCGAGATTGTTCGACAAGCTGGGCTGAATATCCACGGGGACCAGCAGCTCTTCAACACCGTGCTGACGGTACAACCGGAGTTTGAAACTTCCGCGTCTACTACCACGGGGATTGGCTTCAACATGCTGGAAATGGATGACGCTACTGAGGTTAGTGGATCGTGCCGCAATGTCCCCTATAATGTAAGCCTCGAAGTGCTGCAAACGCTAACCCCCATCTACAGTACGATATGTGCTTGGCTGCGGTCCTATCGCCGGGCCGCATTCAGCTGGAACTGCGATACTGGTCATCTACCTGCTCGGACACGTACGCCTCGGAGATTATGGATCGCTTCTGCTGGGCTGTCGGGTGGATTGTGGATCATCCGGGGGATCCTATCGCTGCTGTTGCATTTTGAAGGACATATATGCATAATTGTAGCTACGTGAGGTTAATAGTAATGAGATTAGATTGCTTCCCAGGCTAAAGGTAAGACTTGAGGTTGATCTTAGTGGTTCGTGAGATGCATAGGAAGAAAAGAAAAAGGCAAAAACATACGCAAAAACATACAACAGAAGGGATTCGCTGGTAGTCATCTACCCAACTACTAACCTCCCGGCGTATAACTTGAACGCGGCCAGAAGACAGATGGATACTGCTCGGGTGAGCTAGTAGATAAAGCTGCTTTACAGTCGCGCGATTAGAGATAAGTTAGAATAAGTCTAAAAAAAATAAGCAGTTGTACTATTCGCGCGATGGTCAGATAAGGTCTAAGTTAAAACTTAAATATCTACTTAGCTCTTCAATAATATAAGACATTTCGTCATAGATAAAATTGCGAACCACAAAACTATTTTAATATTATTTATATTAGATATAGAAAATATATAATCTTAAGTTTCATCTCGTACAAGACAGAGGGACTAAACAAGCAGCCGTATAAAAGGACTGCTGTATATATATCAAAGATAAAAATTAAGTATAATTGAACAGAAAATGTAAAGCAAAAATTATATAACATATATCTCTCTAACAGTTAGCTTACTCGAGTCTGTTATTCATCTAGACAAGAGAATATCCGAAGTAATTTCTATCTAAAATAAGTTAAGTTCAACGACAAAGTTGAAAATACCGGAGCTCAGCTGATTGTAGCAGTTGTCACTATACAATTGAGATAATTACTACATTAATTATATAGTGACAACTGCTACAACAACACAATTCTTCGCCATGGTTTGATATCAAATTCATCCAGCGATTCCAGTCCTCATCCTCTCTCGATATCCTCTTATATGCTTGTTTACACTACTTTCCGGAACTACTGCGACTATCCGTATTTTTTCATCATTTCCTAGCCACTTATTCCGAGACACAAAGAAGGCGTCTTCGTTGTGTAAGAAAACGATTTGGGATATTTACAGCGGAGCGAGTTCATTGAACACTTGTTACTGGAACTCTTGAGCCCGCACTCCAATGATTGAAAAGGGCTTCGCGATGGAGTGTCGGCTTATCCACTTGGTTCTCGATCAATTGGGGCGTCTGTACAGCGGTGATGTTGTCTTCGAATGATCCACTCGCCCATATCTCCTTCTGAAATAATGTCAACCGATCTTTTCACTTCTATCACTCCCACTTGCCGTTTATTGTGGTATCCACCACCCTCTGTGACTTGAACACTAGCTGCGTACATGTGACCAGAGGCAGCAAAAGTTGAATCATCGTCAATCGGGGACGTCAAGTTGATGTTCCTCGATACAGTCGGTTCTTTGAATACTTTGAACTTTTGAGGAATGTTTTGTACAATCAGCCGCGTAACTATCCATCGAAAGACAGGATAGCATGCAGGCATGCACGCGCACACAATAGAGAGTGTTGCATCGGAACTCGAATAAACAAGATCTTGTTTTGCGTTGACTAATATCATAGAAGCGATTAGTGAGCGCAGGCGAGATGGACATCATGCTGAACGCGTCCTTACCAAGTGTAAAGTTTCCACTCAGAAATCTCATGAATGTTACCACTGAATGGATCATTCCAGCGCACGCTAGACTATGGATTGCAGAATTGTAAGCAAGTGGAAAAAGAAACCAATCTCACCGGCAGGTAGGAAAAGGCATGATTGCGACCTACAGCAGGTTCAAACCGAATAAACTCAGTAGTCCAATCTTTTGGCCTTTCGCCAGGCACAAACCAGGCAGAACCATCAAAGGGACAATCAGAATGGCCAGGTAGCTGACGATCTGAATAGATCCATTAAGGGTCCATAAGATCTTCCATGGTAGGCAATGCTTTTTTGCAGTCGGGCCATGAGTCCAGAAATAGCTCACTGGGTTGCAAAAGAAAATGGAGCTGAAGAATATCCAAACACCACACATTATGAGTATAGTGGCAATGAAATGGCCAAAACGTTTTACTGAACGCCTGGTAAATATCCGCTGGTAAAAAGCCAGAAGTGAGAGTTTGCATATGATTAGAGTTGACTGACAAAACGGAATCGACAGCCAGAGTGCCTAAAATGAAGAAGTCATTATACGAAGTCCGAGTGAAATCTTGAAACATACAAAAAAGTCATCCGGCGCCTGAGATGTGTTCTTTCTGGACTGGAGCTCAGCTTTGCGGCTGTTAGCACTATTTCATATTTTATATTGATCCATGTCATGCGCAACAAACCTAGAATGCCACAAGAGTAGACTATACAACTCATTCCCTGAATAGATGGTAAGAACGGACTTTGGCATGATTTCTGCGGATACTGTAGGACATACAAAAGCTAGGCAGAGAAGAGCATCATCTAAACCCAAGCTACACAGGTGTAGGCGTGTGGAAAGGCGGATAATGACGGAGAACAGGCTTAGTAAGATGAGGAAAATGAGAAAACAAAGAGCGTTCATGGTTAGTTTCAAAATCAACCTCGCCAAATTTTGAACTCATTGTCGCGTCTGCGTAGGATCATATATACTGCTTAACATAGAATACGTCAAATGTGGGGCAATGATCACAACATTTTGTCTTTATATCGAATATCCCCATGGTACGACGGCAATGATGATTCATTGATTAGACAACTAATTCTGCAAGCCAGCCCTCTACCCAGATGAGTACTTTGGAATTTGAAATAACTTAGTTCTTGTGTCTCAACCGGGAACGCAACATTAATTGCCAGTGAAAAACACTTCCTAAAGCTTAATACTTTGAATTAAAAACTTAAGTCGATTTTTTATTACAGAGCAGAGACTGATTGGACTCAAAGTTTTCTAGAATGAAGCGTTATAGCTCCAAAGCGTTTTGGACTCGGATGGTCACCTTCAGAACTAATGGAGGAACTGCCTTGATTACTGAAACTCATGCCCCCTAATCCGCAGTTGACTACTCTCAACTTGAAGTACTTTTGTAGATGGTTTATCAGTCCAACAATCATCTTCTTTGGTGAATGATCATCTCTAATAATTTTTTTCGAATAGTTTGTGAAGTTTACTCTCCCGACTCATTAGCTTTCAGATACACACTTTGGTGCCGTTTTCCAGTGCGATTAGGAAGGGGCTTGTAAACTGAGGCAAATGAGGGGTTCACAGTCACGGTAGGCTCCATGAACACCCGACACTAGCCTATATTTGAAGTCATACCCGGACTTGCCGTTGACCCTGAGAAGCCTTTTCTCCCGTTTTCTCCCAAGTCCCCGGTATTGACACCCATGAATACAGCCGTGTCGGATCCCGCCAAGCTTTGCGGGGGAATCCCCGCATGCTCCAACGCCTCCCAGGCCACTCCCAGAGACATCCGTTGCTGTGGATCTAGTGGTTCGGCTTCCTTCGGAGATATTCCGAAAAACGCAGCGTCGAAGGTTTCCATCCCGTCAACAAAGTATCCACGCGTAGTCACGTTGTCCAATATCCGTGCATTGGCACCATCGCGACGACGGTACGCTTCCCATCGTGCGGGCGGTGTCTCGCTGCATGCGTCGGACTTGCTCGCTTGGAAGTCCCACAGTTCTTCCAATGAGTTATTGTCACCTGGCAACCGACACGCAAGGCCCATCACAGCCACGTCTTGGGGTCGCTCCTATAGAGGGATGTCAGTGTACCATATATTTGGCTTCGTGGAGTGCCGATCATAGTAGGAAAGCGCGAATACACAAATTGAAGTCAGTGTCGATAGACAGTGTTGGGGAATTGGCAAGGGACAAGACGTGTGATTGAAAATATTAGCAAGAATATGCTCATCACTATCAGATATCTCCGAAGTCCGCCGAGGCAAAGGGCTGCGAAAGGACAAACTGACCGTGGAACCTACTACTAGGTATTGTAAGCCTTGCTTGCTGGTACACAACCAGTGAAAGAATTTGACTATCACAAAGGCTGGAATATTAAGTGTGTGTCGTTTTCATGGCAATCAGTCGCTCAAGGTGAGATGAAATGGGTGGGCTCTTGAGACAGGTTCCTGGAAACCTAGTCAGTACGTGAGTGGTCCTAGGCCTAGCGGATGCACATAAAGATGATACCTGGCAGGGATCCAACGATCTGGAGGTTTCATTGTGACCTTGACTCGTAAAGTATACTTGCATGCTTCTTATCTCTGGATTGTACTCGTTTTTGACTGACAGACAATTGTTTGAACCATACTAGGCTTTTGACGTCAACAAATTCGACATGTTGACAATGCGCCGGTTTCAGCCAAGATCCCTTATCAAAGATCTTGTACATGTGATTGTACACCGGTCTAGCACCCCTTTGTGTCTGAGATAAATTGGAGGAAGGAGGAGAGCGAGCGCAAAGTATATAGCCCAGCAGGCAGCAGATACTTGCGAGGAGAAACTCTTCAACCACGTACAACCCACAGCCACTGTATACTTTGGCTGAGACCTTCTATCGACAGCCATGATTCTTTCGGTGCTCTCCCTATATGTGTATTCTTCTCCGCTGGGATGGATTATGTTATTGATGGTCGCAGCGCTTATCCTAGGGCTGTACCTGGCGTATGCTACAATCGTGGGCTATCAAAGATTGTCGCAGTTCCCCGGCCCGGTTTGGGCGCGATTCACCAATCTACCGCGAGTAAGATGGCTGCAAACCGGTCGTTCGCACGACATTCATATGGATCTTCATGACAAATACGGCACATTTGTTCGTCTGGGTCCGAACATGATATCTATCTCGGATCCCAACGCCCTCCCCACGGTGTATCCAAGCAGACCTGGTGTCAAGAAGGTATGTCAGTTTCTCATCAAGCTGAGTTTGATGGTTGCTTACCTTTTGAACACTGGTAAGGGAAACTTCTACCGAGCCCTGACGCCATTCGTTGGCAAGGGGGATCCTTTGCCTCTCGTCTTCAACACCCGAGACGAAGCCTTTCACCGCGTTTTCCGAAGGCCGATCGCCCCGTTGTATACGATGGCCAATGTGTTGACCTACGAGTCCACCGTTGATCGAGTCCTTGATCTTCTCGTCGCACAGTTGGATACGCGATTTGCCGAGCCGAGGCGAATATTTGACCTGGGCTCGTGGCTGCAATTGTTCGCTTTCGAGAGTATGGCTTCCGTGACCTTCTCCAAGCGATACGGCTTTCTAGAGAAAGGAATAGATGAAACGGGGCTTCTATTCACCATCGGGAGATTGTTGAAAAAGGCATCTCCTGCAAGTTAATGCCGCTCCCCTTCATGTGGCAGCTCAGACGAGTGATTAACATACTAATGCTGGCACCAGATCACACAAATACCCTGGGCGGACTTTCTCTGGAACAAGAATCCCATTGTGACTCGCCTCATGCCTACCACTGCGCAGCCCATTATGGACGTGGTAATGACCAGAATCCACCAATGCCAGCAGGAGGTCGAAAAGGGCGGAATGGAGGGCCAGCCCAAGACCTCCAAAGACTTCCTCTCACAGTTCAACGAAGCCCGCGATCGGTATGCGGACACAGTCGGCCCAGGGTAAGAGACCCAGTGTTCAGTAGCCACAAAATCTCTCGATTCAAAATCCTCCTCGCAGGGCCGTGACCGCCTGGACATTCTCGAATGTCTTGGTGGGTTCCGATACGACTGCGGTGGCAATGAGAAACCTCTGGTACAACCTCCTCTCCCACCCAAGCTCGATGGCAAGTCTGCAGGCTGAGTTTGGATTCCAAGAAGGCGCTGGTAGAATGTCGCGGCCACATCCACCGTGGAGCGTGATTACCGACTTACCTTACCTGGACGCCTGTTTGAAGGAAGCCCTGCGCTTGCACCCCCCGTTCTGTCTGCCGTTCGAGCGGATCGTCCCTGCAACAGGCATGACTGTCTCCGGCCGCTATCTCCCTCCCGGAACGACTGTTGGTATGAACCCATGGGTGATCAATCGGAATAGAGAGGTGTTTGGTGAGGATGCCGACATGTGGCGGCCAGAGAGGTGGCTGTCTGATGCCCACAGTCACACCATAATGGAAAAGACTATGTTCAGTGTATGCACTACCTCAGACGACAGTGTCGATATGCTGATCCAAATGGGATATAGTTCGGAGCAGGACGACGTATGTGCTTGGGTAAGATTGTAGCCATCTTCGAGATCAAAAAGTTGACTGCCACACTCCTACTCAAGTACCATGTAAGCTGGGGTGCTACCGTTCACAGAGATTGATCTGACCTTGATCCAGGTTCGAATCTAGCACCCGGAGCATTTCAAGACAGAAAATTATTTTTTCTTCCACCAGACTGGTCTGATGGCAACGATTGAGAGGCGGATTTAGTTCAGCTTCGCTGGCAATAGGACAAAGTGGGCTGAAAGATGCAACGGCGCCTTCATCGGGATGACGAGGGAGCTCAAGTCCGACTCGTGAGTGTCTTCAGAGTATGTCAGTGAGAGTAGAGCTGCTTTACCATCGTGCGACAAGAGTGACTAAACGCGAGTTAGGATGAGTTTTATTCTTAGGTCTCGTAATACCTGTTGAAACAGAGGTATTACGAGGCACTCCCGCTGCTGTCGCACGTTGTATGATACCTGCTGCCAACCATACTCAGCCCGTCCCTTACTCCTGTTACCTGGTGGTCTTTTGAGTACTGATACTTGTTGAACTTCACCTTAAAAGCTGTCTACTGAGCTAGTATCTTGGAACAATCCTTAAAGACATGATCTGGTTTGCAACACCCAGCTAAGTAGGGAGTCCATTCCAGTCACAAGGGCTTAAGGTCAACCATAGTTGTACAGTCCCAGGGATGATGTCTCAGATATCTCGCTAAGAGCTCTACAATCGAGTGAAGTTCGAATATCACATCAACGGTAATCCCCATATTGTCGATAAATGGCGTGGCTCACAAGGTAGAGCTGGTTCTAGACCAGCCCCCATGTTCATCAGCCAATCACGTATCGGGCGGGAAAAGCAAGAATGCTTACGTATCTGGTCCCCTGCATGCATTAGAAATTGTGGCGGATTTGCGGGGGATCGAAACAAAGGAAGTATAATTCCGCGGCAATTTGCTAAGAAGGGATGACCATCAGTCTTAGACTCGGTATGTATTTTTCTTTGTTCTTTGTTCAAAGATCGGCTGGGAAGGAAGGACTTATACTCTCTTCTACTGATACCTAGCAGATATGTGTAAGGAGAAGGACGCTTATCTATACAGAGTATAATAGTTCATGTTGTGGTATTTCCATGCTACTGCACGTAAAGCTTAAATAATATGTGCCACAGGCCCGTGCCGGGTACTGCCCTCTCGTAACTAGCCGGCCTCCAGCCTGCTAACGCAGGGGCACGACCCTAAAAACTTCTTTTAAGCCTTTTGTACGTACACACAGTTAGCCTCCTAGTCAGAACTATTAGAAGTCTCTCTTTAGTCCCTTTGCAATATACACTAAAGTCTACATAGAATGATCTTACTACCTAGGTTTAATTGATACATTTTCAGTATCGAAACCTTTGTTATAATTCGCTTGAAGATTACGTACCCAAGAAATAACAGAGTGGGTGGTCCAGGCATTTCCGGACGTCGCTGGGGGCGACGCCCGCGGGGAGGTCGGCGGGGTCCACGGTCATAACGTCCAGGTCGCCGCATTCGACGACGGGGTCGCCTTGTTCCGCGTCGCGCGGGGTGAGGGTCAGCGCGGTGGTGAGGGCGAGCATGCTGATGATGGTGAGGGGGAGCTTCATTGTGGATGCGGTGGCTGGAGATTATGCGAAGGTCAGTATGCTTATGGAGTTGGAGAGGAGAAGAGGGAGAAGCAGAGGAGACGAGAAGGGGTGATACCGGTTGTCGGTGAGAGATGTGCGTTCTTGGGCCAGTGGGGAGAGTGGATGTGGATATCAGAGTGTTTTGCTTCAGACTGTTTTGTTGTATGAGGGATAGACCTAGCTGGATACATACTGTGGATGAATGGGAATGGGTCATGCCTTTTATACTTCATCTCGAAAATAAAAAAAAAAAAAACCGAGCGTTTACATCCCTGGAACAATATCCACCCTCGACAGCCTGGGGGGCTCTCGCCTCCGGTAGGCTGATCACTGTACCTGGTCCCCGTGTTGACGAGCAGGATTATGACAAGGAAGAGGACCGCTGACCAGGTTGGTGGCCGCCGGCGCAAGACATCCTCGGCCCCCGTTGACCCCTGGTTATACTTAACCAGTACCAATCCCCGGGACTGGCGCGATGCAGCTAGAAAATGTCCGCATAGGTCTCGTAGTCGGTGGATACCCTGGTGCAGCTGCCTGTGAGGTCTGGATGTCCCCCTTGTCCAGAGCTATAAAACCAGGTCTAATCAGTAATGTACTGGCCTTCCAAAGCCTTGTCCGTCGACATACGCTGTATAATGAGCACGGCCACTAGCCTCTTCCAAAGCCTTTGCGCTCACGCAAGTTATCTCTCAGTCAAAGGATGTTTGGTTAGTCTTTCAGAGCATTTCTCTACCTATGTTACTGAATTCTGCTTGACTCCGGCGATTTTGCTAGTGCGATGGGGAGTGGCATCAGGATCCCAGCTCGGACGGGGCGAGGAATGCCGACACTCAGTACTCCCTAACCCCCTCGGAGCTTTTTTGAATCACGTAAGCTTGAAGATAAATCCCCAAGCCTCTTTTTCTATTCGAAATATCAGGGTTCTTAGGGGCCGAGGGTTTCTACGTGAGGATTGCGTATGAGAAAATACACTTAAATATTCTCTCATATCAAGGTAGTTGAGGTTTTGTTGGTTTCAAAATACCTATCATAAACATAAATCATGTCTCATATCTGACATGTTCTAACCCACTTGAAAATCACATGTTTTTGATATTGTGATCCCCTCGCACTAATCTCTGACGCCGCTCAGCGCTGATATTCTAACTGAATTTTATGGACTCTGCTGTTGAGATGATTATATCGACTTCATATGGTCAATTAGCGTTGAACTTCACGGTCTGGATGGGAGACTTACCGCTTCAAGGGTCCATATCCCTGCAGTACCCCATCGTTCTAGCAGAACCACTGGAGCAATCGTATTCTAGAATCGGACAAACGTCGGGTCCGTTAGAAGACCTTTCGCCAAGTGCCATCATGATCGCCGCCAACCAATCAACACCCCTGTCAGCTCTTGGTTGTCTCAGACCCTTGACGACGCAGCGAGTCAGCCACCTCGAACTGAGACACAGGAGCAATAGCGTCTTGTTCCTCCGCTTGTCACAACAGGCAAAAGCTGGGCTGAGCCCTGAGCCGTGCATCACTAGAGTAATCGACGACCGTGACAACTTTGGAAGAGAAAGCGGGTCACGAGCCTCGACACCTCGCTCTGCTTGGCCTCTACGGAGTATCTGAGACTACGCATCTCCGTGGTGACACCATGATTTGCCATGTTAGACTCTTTTCGTGAAGTACCAGTCATCATCTAGGATGTCAACAGAGCATCATTCGACCAGGTCCCATGGTCGCCAACCGACTAGCATCGAGTGCTATCCGGGGAGAAAAAGGGTTGTTTCACCACTCAAAGTTCGGGCCGGACCGCCTCTTCGCAATCCTGACGTTATGAAGATGGCGCCCTATTCTAATTAGATGCGAAGATCTCCCAGGGCCTGCTTTCGTGGATAAGAGCGGCGACAGCATGAGACCTCACAGAGTGCGCTCCATGGCTCAAATCCTCGGGTTGGATAGATCCTTGCCTGGTAAGCGAGTCCCTTTGTCCATCCATGATCAATGTTGCCCTGTGATCACATGGCAGGCAGCAAGCAAACGAGGAATAGCGACCAATCGGGCTGCCTGGGGCGAATTTCGACCACATCGCCTGTTTACCCGAAGCCGGCGGTCTTAGGGCTTACATTGTGTATAAAGAAGCCGGCTCCCCACCAGCCAGGCCAAGCGCTGAGATCCAACACCAAACGTCACCACGCCCCTCCTCAACACGGGAGACAATCATCCTTGCCCGCTAGTAGCAGCCAAGATCCAAGCCGCTGCTTCCCGACGTATTAATCTCTTCATTGCCCAGAGCATTAGCGCCTGCCACCTTTGCCTTCCTACTCGTCAAATTCCGCTCAAGTATTTCAACGTGAGTTTCAAAGGTAAGAAACCCCCTTCCCCGCCATCTGTCTTGCTAGGGCTGCCCTCTTTCTCTTCATTTGTTTTTGAACCTCCAGTGCTAACCACACCACTCTATAGCCTTCCCACCAGACCCCCCACCTCCGACCCCAACATGAAACCCATCACCTACCTCGCCCTCCTCCTCGGCCTCTCCGCAACCACCGCCCTCGCCGCTCTCCGCCCCGACGCAACCCCCGAAAAGATCGCCGCGGCGGAAGTCGAGTGCGGGTCCCTGGGCGTGATGAGGATCGACCCAGCCGAGCTGTCCGAGGGCGTGACGATGGCCGACGTCCGCATGTGCGCCGACCATCCCCTCGGCGTCCGAGCGATCCCGGGTCTGGGTCCTGGGGCTTTGGCCAGGTTCCGTCGGTTCTTGCCAAGTTGGGTGTTCTGAGCGGACGACCGGCTTTGGGAGCGGGGTCGAGGCCCTGTAGCGAGTAGGTAGGTAGTCCGGCGCGCGGTGTTTCTTTGGCGTATGTAGGGGCATAGTTGTTCACGTCAGATATGGTTTACCGAGCCCCGGCAACGGGTGGGAGGTAACAGACGTTTGGGGATGGACTTGTGGGAGATGGATGGATGTTGTTTGATGTTGATTATGGGAGAAAGTTTGAATGGTATAGTGTGGCCGGAGAATAATATCCGGACGTGACATCGTATAATATTGAGGGATAATGACCATGAGCAGTTTTGAATAAGTAGGATATCAACTATATTGATATCAGCGTGGTAATAACCTGCCCGCGCAGCGTATATAGACTACTTGGTCGGCCTTTCCAGGGAACAGACACTGAACCGTTCTTTCATCAGTAAGGGAGAGTGTTGGTATCTTTATCTCATGGTGTGTCTACGGCTTCTCCTCTCCTCTTCGTCATTGCAGCCGGGGCTTGGATCCAAGCCGGGCAGGATCACGATAGCAGGGCGATCTACGCTGCTCTCCAAGATGTGATCGATACAGATCCCCTATCGTAGAACCGGCGAACATCCGCGTAAAGACGCAATATGTTCGACAGTTCCCTGGAGACGCGCCCAGTGTCTAGCTCGGATAAAATCCCTACATAGCAAGGCTTTATCAGCTAACGACATGTGGTGGATGCCATCGAAGGCAGCGCAGAAAAGCAACGAGCTATTGTAGCGCGGTCTCTATCTTCTACCCCCTTACCATTTTTGTTGAGTTATCCTGATTCTCGGCTCTTTCTCTCTGCTTGGATTCG